AGACATTCTCTAATATTTAATTGTCCTTGTACCTCCTAGCAGATTCCATCTCTTACATTAATGAAGTACAACGCTTCCCTACAAGTTTAGAATAGCAATATTTAAATTTGTTTTGCTAATTCACATCTGGAAGAAGCTGGAAACCTTCATGGTAAAGTGGATTTTAACCAGCTTTTTAAAATATGAACTAGCCCAGGGTTTGTGCTAAAATTACTGCAGCAGGAGAAAACAAGGCTACAGGCCAAAAGAAATATCAGGCTTAGCAAATAGGGAGTGACCAAACTTGAATCCTTCTGCTAAAGAAAGGAAGTGGACAGGTGGTGAAGATTAGAGCCTCCAACGGGCACAGTAAAAGAAACAGGTGTTTTAAAAATCACAATTTAGTCAACACACTACAGTGAGTATTTGCCATTTGTAAATCATGAAATTTATTTCCCATGTCACTAACATCTTTGATAGGAGGATCCCAAAGTGCTTTGAAACCTTTAACACTTTTAACCTCATAGGTAGGGTATTAGCCCCATTTCACCAAGACGGAAACTGAGGCACAGGAACATTGTCCAAAGTCATAGAGCAAGTTTGTGTCAGAGGTGGACATAGAACACAGCAGCCTTAACTCTTAGTTTTGTGCTTTTGCCACAAGACTATCCCTGAAAATTGGGATGATTAGTAGGGCAAGGTTTTTTATTACTAGCCATTTATACTGCATCTTGCCACATCAGTGATCCTGGCCTCTGCTCTAAAGCAAAGAATAAACACCCAGAGAATGCTCAGTGGAATTAAACCAGGCGTAATGGCTTTAAAACATATCAGAAAACTATGAGAATCAGATGCATCAGTCATATGAAAGAAACCACCTACAGGACTACACTTGCTTTAACCCCAGGATTATTTTTTTGAAGGGCCGAGATTTTCCTGGACAAACATTTCATTAAGGTTTTGCTTTCTGTTCCCAGTCTGGGGTCTGAAACACCAACACATCAGTACAATTGCCAAGCTACGCCAATACCTAGCATCAAATGTAATCCAGGTTTTCAAGCATAGACGAGATCTTTTGTCAGACTATGTGGTCTATCTTCATTCTTTGCTCTTTCAGTTTCCAGGAGAGCTGTCTGTGGTTGGAAAGGAAGACATGGGGCTAACTCCAGCTCATTTACAAACCGGCAAATCTGCAGCCACTCCACTGAAGTCAGTGGAATGACTCTGCATTCCAGCCAGTTTAGTGAGACCAGTCTGGCCTAATGTTTATACTGCAGCAGCAGCGCTTCAACTGAGGAATTGTACTTCAATTAGGCACACCTGGTGATCTCTAATCTGTTCCTTTCTCGGGGCAGGGGCTGGCCATGATCCTAACAGTCGATTTCAGGTTTAAAAGTTGCAGACATCGTGTCAAATGATGGAACAAGGTCACCCCTGGAGTGGTCAGGAGGCAGAAAGGGGTCCTCAGCAGAGGCTGAAGAAGCCCCCCCCCCACCCTCACTCATTCCAGACTAGGGACCAGCAGCAGCATCGCTCTCCATCAAAGGTATTTATAAGGCACCTAGCGCCGTGGCATCTAAGCACTGAACAAAATTATGCTGAAGCACGAGTCCAGAATAAATGGTGTTTTTCCTCTCGGCTCCCCCGGGGGTAGAGAGGAATGAGAATTTGGATGGGCAGGGAAGTTTTGCTCTTTTGTTTTCAATGACAGGCTTTGCCCTGGGGGGGCAAGGGTTATGGCAAAGGTGTGCCTTCAACTTGGATAGGAACATGCTCTGCTTGATCCCTTCTGGAAAGGAGGTTCCACCTGGAGGGGAGCCCTACCACGGACAACACCTCCACTTGCCAGCATCTGGGGCCTTTCGAATACTGTAGAGTGTGGCTGCCTTGGAGGGACTCAGAGGCAGTCTCTGCTTAACCAGGCCTCAAGCCAAATCTACATTAGGAACAGAACCTTGAATTCTCTTCTGAAGCTAATGGGGGGGGGGGATCTGTGGAGATCAAAAGCCCCCATGGGATGATGCACCAACTTCAGCTTTCTTGGGATGGTTCCATTCAACATCTGGGGGAGCATAACTGTAAGGGTATGTCTACACTGCCACCCTAGTTCGAACTAGGATGGCTAATGTAGGCATTCAAACTTCCAAATGAAGCCCAGGATTTAAATATCCCGGGCTTCATTTGCATGTTCCCGGGTGGGTGCCTTTTATAAATGTCCGTAGTTCGAACTACATGCCTGCGGCTACACACGGCACGGACTAGGTAGTTGGAATTAAAGATCCTAATTCGAATGACTGTTATTCCTCCTGCAAGGGGCTTTATTTTGCCATCACTTTTAAAACCAACCTCTGCCCTAAAATCAAACCAAAAGTCAAGGGGACATTAATGGAGCCCTTGACAATTTAAAAACCAGACAAATACACTGTAGAATTATGCTGAGGGTCTGTGCAGAGGTAGAATCTCTCTATCCAGAGTGATTTAAGTTTACCTAAAATCTGCTAAAGCTGCTACATCTTACTGCCTGTGTTAGCTGGGCAGTAAAGTGACAAACCAGATCCGACTACAGACACACAGTGCAAGCAGTTGGGTAGCACAGATATAACAGAGAGCAGAATTTAGTGACGCATAAACCCAGCCATAAGCCGTGAGGTTTGCAGAAGGAACCTCCTTAAGGTCATGATCAGATAAGTACGTTTGATTTTTCTTTAAGCATGTATCTATTTCCTTTGCCATTTTTTCTGCTGATGCGCTCCTTCCGATAATCCCTGAGCATTAATCCACAACTCCCTAATAAAAAGATAGCGAGGCTCAAAGAGAAAGCTATACAGGTGAAAAAAAAAAGCATAAATCATTCACTATTTCATCAAGCCTATTAAACGCCACAGTAACACTGGGAGTGATGAGACTTTCTAATGTCTGACTGACGTGCTGTCAGGTCTTAGTATTATAAATTCACCAATAGTCCCTATTAATTTTCAAATGACAGTCAGTTTGGAGAAGGTCGTACTCCTTCCCCCCCTTCATTCGCCGGATCAATTCTCCCCAAGCTTACTCTGTCTGCATCATGCTCGGAGTCATTTTCATCCTCAGGTTATTTTTTAAACCTGATTACCCATCCCCCCTCAAAATCAAGAGAGTGGTTTCCTTTAATTTTAATCTAATAAATGCTAACTGTCCGCCTAGCCTCTGCCCTTCACTTATTTTATATCAGAGCATTTCTCCACATCCTTCTTTCTCAAACACTACTGGTTTAAAAGCACAATGCTCAGTGACTGCCTGGGAGGGAGACGGGAAGAAACATTCTCATTCACACGTTGCCACTCACTTGACAAAGTAAACACTTTTGGACCGAATCTCCCCTCTGCAACACCAGACCCACTTCACTGCTACTCTGTCATCATTTAACTATCATGTGGCTGTGGTTACATGTTAAGCCCACTTTGCAGTGCTGTGAATTCTGTTTCATATACATTCTTATACCACGCTCACTGGTGTTCTATCCGAGTGCCTTCCGGTAGTGCATTCAGCCACGTGACTAACATCAGTCATGTATAGTTTGTTTTCTCTCTCTCCCCAGGGAGAGAATTGTCTGTGCAGTGGAGTGCTCTATTGGTAGGGTTTGTGTGTTGTTTGGGGTTTTTGTTGTTTTGTGTGTGTGTGTGTGCGTGCGCGCGCTCTATGATTTTGTTTGAGGAGGCAGACTGATGCCGCTGTGAGCTTTGCCCAGAGATTGGGAGTTGGAAAAGTTTGGTAAGGTCAGTAGTTCCAGCGGGAACTCATTCTCCAATCTCAGACCAGGCCTTGAGAAAGCGCTATCTCCTGCACAGAATGACAACACAATGGAACCCTGGCCCGCCTAACGTCACTGGGAATTTTGCCATTGACTTCAACGGGGCTAGAATTTCATTCCAAGGGATCATGAACAGGGCCCAACATAAGCCTCTCTCAAATCACACTGCAAAGAACGTCCAGGAGTCCCTTTCCTCCTAGGATCTGATAAGAAATAAAATAAATAAAGGAAGGAAAAAATTCATGTTGTGTTTTTCCACGTCAAAGGAAACAGGAGAACACAAGGAGACAAATCCATTAGCCCAGAATATACTGCGGAAAAGGAGAAGGAAATAAATACGCTTGACCGATGCAAGAAACAGCTGAAGTCAATCAATGTGCTTTTCAGAATGAGCAATAAAGTGTGCTACAAAATGATGGTCCCATTAAGGGTTAGAAATGCTCTTCACAAGCCTTTTCTTTGTGCTGAGAAGGAAGACCTATTACATGGGTCTAAATCTTACCTCCACATTTTGCCTGAGACAGGAGTAGGGAATGGAAGAGTGGTCCTCTGGCTATTTACATACAATCTTGCTCCCAAGTGAATGGGAGTTTTGACATTCAGATCTGGGACCCCCACTTCTCACTTCGTTCAGGTCAGGCTTAGGTTTGCATAGTAAGAATAAGCAACTAAGGACTGATACACTCTGCACTACTTCACCTTTCTCTACGAAAAATAAATTAAACAATTGGTTCCTTTTTAAACATTGTAATTGCCCCAATAAACTCAGCTCCTATCTTAACCCATCTGATGGTCACTTCATATTCTGGTAGTTGCACATTTCCCTCTACAGTTCATGTGACCACTCCAAATTTTCTTTACAAAAACCAAAGGTCCTGGTTTAAAACTGCAAAATTTAGAAACTTTGTACACCTTCATCAAGCTGTATTTATTGGCTATGGAGCAATCTTGACTGAGAACAGGGCATGTTTGATTTCTGCCCTGTTGAGGTCTTCTGGGGGCTTAGCCTTTTAAAAATTCCCTGTTAAATTCTAGTGCATTTCAGTTTGCGTTGCATGTCACTTTGCCTTCTGTCCCATGGGTTTTCCAGAATCAGTTTCTGCAGCAAAGGGCTTGAAACTCCCAGTTCAGCTCTGCATTTTCTGGTTGTCAGGTTTTCCATGTCTCTTCCTTCTCTTGACCCTGGATATACCAGAGTCTATCCCACTGGAGTATTCAGATCGCAAGATTTCAGCTAGGCGGCGTTTGCCTGGGGTTTTCCTGCGAAGGTCAGGCCTGGAAAGAAAACAGCAAAGAGAATGGGTTTAGATTGCTTTTCTCTTGAAACCCAGTTTGGTGGGTAACTTATTCTACAGCTGTGCAAGTGACATTTGCGCATTAGCACAAGTACAGCTTCCTCTCCTTGATGCCTGTTTTGAAATTCTGTCTCATGCAGAATTAGATATTGTTGTGACAGTTTTTCATAAAAGTGGCAAAATATCATGCCATTTTTAAAAGGGAGCCTTTGTTCTGAACAAATGCTCTGGTGGGGGGAGCGCACGCTGACGGCTGATGAAGTGTGTGACACAGCAGTTTGCAAATAAAAAACCCAGCCTTAAGACACTGAGCAATGAAAACATTTTATAACAGAGCTTAAAAAACAAACAAACAAAAAAAACCCAACCAACGCAAGACCATCTTTTCTGCCAGGAGCCTGCAAACAACACACACATCTTATAGGCTTTTGTGGCAGAGAGAGCGATTTCTTGCCATATCCTTGAAAAACCTTACTGAACTAAAGTTGAAATATCTTTGGAGTCCACTGCATGAAAAGCAAGTGTGCTGTTTTATTCTGGCCCGTGATGACCAAAGGACCATATTGAAGGATACAGCAGACAAGAATGTGTTTTTTTTGGGGGGGAGGGCAAAACTTATGAAGTGAGTTTCCTGGGAAATATCTTGGGGGAGGAGGAAATAAATTCTTCTCCTCCTCCCCAGCTAGGAAAAAAATCCAGCCTTTCAAAACTATGCCCTGAGGAAGGGAACATACTTCTTTCCTAGTCCTGGAATTTGAACATCAGGTTGTATATAGGAAAGCTATGCATGAGGGTGCTTGCACTGAGCCCCCGCTGTTATAAACTTGCAAACGCAAGGGTTTGAAGGTTTGATTCCTACTAAGCCGGCAGGCCAGTGTGATTTCAGCCCTGGTCTACACAAGGGAGTTATTTCAAAATAATCCCCCTTATTTTGATAAAATAATCGGACCGTCCATACGACCAAGCTCGTTATTTCAAAATAACGGGCTAGTTATTTCAAAATCTCTACTCCTCTGCTTTCCTTGGGGAATAAGCTTATTTTGAAATCGTTATTTCAGGAGTTATTTTGAATTTAGTTATTTCAAAATAAGTTTCTAATGTAGATCTGCCCTTGGGGAAATTTATTAAAGTGTGTAGGCTCTCTCATTGTTTTAATATGTTTTCTCAGAGATGCTTTCACCTTAGAAATACATGTACTTGCTTAGAAAGACCAATGTGGTAACTTATATTTGAGGGCACTTGTGCTATTTATAGCCCTGAAGACAGAACAAAGTACCAATACTGGCCCATGGAGGTATTCTGGCTTATGGGCAGTAACAGTGTAGGCAGGGAATTGTGCAGCCTGGAAGAACTCCAGTCAGAAAGAAAATAGCTGCAGGTCTCTGCCCATGAGAGGTGACAGCTGAGCAGCCAGTCCATAGAGAGGGGAGGGGGAGAAGAGACAGTTGTAGTTGCCCAGAACTACAATAGTTTCCGCACCAGAGACTGTTGCAACGGTATTGTGACTGACAGCTGCATTCCAAAATGGAACTTCTAGTGGTTCTATGATTCTGGGTGAAAAAATAATTATTTTTCTCTATTGGCTCTGCCACTAGCCCACTCTGTGACCATGGCCAAGTCACCTTCCCTCTTGGGGCTTCTGCTTCCTCTCAAACAGCCTCTTGTCTGTTTGGACTGCATGTTTGTCAGGGCAGGAGCTATTATTCACTATGTATCTGTGAAGTGTCTAGTACAATGGGGCTCCCACTGTGGTTGGTGTCTGTAGGTGCTATGGAGATAAAAAATAAATAGTAATAACAGATCTCAAAGCACATCACCAAGTGGGTAAGAATGTATCTGCTCTGCTCCCCTATATGAGGTGGTGGTATATAACGGAAACCCCAGCGAATGCTCCAGCAGTGATAGTCATATATATGTACATGGGTAGGTACTAGATTAGAGCCTTAGGGTATGTCTAGACTGGGGGGGGTTTCCAGGATACTGGAGGTACCCCCAAAAAACTCTGCCCCATCCAGTGAACGTATTTGCTCTTCAGCTTTTTTTTTTTTGCTATGAGGAATAAGGGCTCCTCCATTCTACGAGGAATATGGGGTCCTCCAAAAGGGGAAGATTTTCTGCCATTTGGCCCCATCTAAACGGAGCCAAATGGCAGAAAAGCCTCTTCCGGAAAAGCAATTGGAAAAATCTATGCAAATTGTGGAGTGCAATTTGCGTAGCTTTTTCCAGGGAAAAAAAGGCTATAGTGTAGATCTAGTCTCCGAAATCACCGATTTTCAGTCTTACATGTTGTGTTATACTACCTATCAAGAAATAGGTAATTTATCCAGGGAAACTGAGGCACACAGGTGAAATGATTCACCTCTCAGATGACACTCAGCCACCTGCTGTTACTTATGCAGTCATTTTAGCCACTTATTTAGGGGAATTTCTCAACATATGATGAAGTTTCTGATTGACACTTTCTTTGCATCTCCAAGCACTGACTACAGTAATTGGAGGGTTACCAAGCAACAAATAAGTTTACTTAACAACACAGAACTATTTGCTGCTGAGAACAAGTCATCTGCCAGGCTGAATTTCAGCTCAGCAGGGAGGCTGTACAGCACTTTATTATCAATCAGGTGAAATCACTGCCCAATTAGTAAATCAATACCCCCTGCTACTGTGATCGGCTGTAGCGGGAGAGGGAGGTAGCAGAGGAAAGGCGGCTGCCTGTAACCAGTGCCACAAATCGATGAGAGCTCCGCTGTGGAACCTGAACTAATTAAGAAAACTTTCAGCATGGCTGTTGTCAGGACCGTATTTAAACAAGAGGCACAGGAGCCAGAGGCAATAGTAATCATCTGCAGCAATAATAAATCTGGAAGGTCAGGATTACCGAGCCAGATTCTGATCTCAATTACACCACCAGAGTAAATCCAAAACCACCACTGACCCGAGTTACTGTCGCTCTCCAGGGTCTTGTCTACAGGAATGGGCATGTCCAGATGAAGATACAATGAGGCAGGATGGCCCAGAGGCTCTGAAACTGGGTGGTGAGCTCAGATCTGGATTCAGTCCTTGACACTGCCACAGACTCCCTGTGCAACACTGGGCAAATCTCTTAAATTTCACTGCCTCCGCTCCTGCATCTGCCATACGGGGATGATAATAGGGGGCCTCTGGTGAGGGGTTCTGTAGAAATGCTTACAAATGCATAACCCAGCTGTAGAACCTCACCGTGTTCCCAGAACTGGCGTGAAGAGTTGGACTGAGCAAGGTTTCTTTCTGTGATCTAGCACCTAGACATTACAGGCTCTTGAACACTAACCAGGGCATGTCACGAAGGGCAAAGAATTCCACAGCCTGTTAAATTCCTCCTTCCAAAAGAGCCATTGCAAAAGCAGCCATCCACGTGTGAGGTAGAGTTTTGCAAACTAAGGGGCACTGGTAGGAAAAAGTCTCAGTGGGGTAGCTGTGTCCGCCTGTAACTTTAAAAACAACTTTTAAAAAAACAAAGAGTAGTCCTGTGGCACCTTAGAGAAATATGTGTAATAGTATCATGAGCTTTCATGGGCAAAACTCACTTCTTCAGATGAGATGAAGGTTTCTTAACACAGAGACCCATCCCAGCTCTCTGAAATGTCAAGATATTAGCAGAGTCCAGAGGAGGAGCAAACACTTAAATTTATTTTAACCCCCCCCCCCCAACCCTTCCTCACTTTCATTGGATGGGGTAAAATGTGAAAGGGTCAGAAAATGTCACAATTCAGGGCACACAAAAGATACTAAGGGTACGTCTACACAGCAACATTATATCGGAATAACTAGCGTTATTCTGAAATAACTTAGTCCACGTCTACACATCAGGCAAGTATTTCAAAATAATGTTAAAATACTGTCAAGCTGGAGGACTTCTTACTCTGATTCCTGTAACCCTCATAGTACGAGGAGTAAGGGACGTTGGAGGAAGAGTGCTCTATTTTGAAATAAGTGCTGTGTAGACACTCCCAATTTCGAAATAAGCTATGCAATTGACGTAGCTCAATTGGTGTAGTTTATTTCAAGTTAAGCCCTCCAGTGTAGACACACCCTGAATGTCTGGGATTAGGATGAAACTTCCCCTATAAGCAAGGTATTTCATTAACTGTTCATTATGGGGTTCCTTATACTGTCTTCTGAAGCATTTGCAACTGGCTGGGGTCAGAAGCAGGATGCTGTTCATGTTTCTACTGTATCTGATCTCTGTAGCATCTGGACTCTGGCTAAGAATTACTGAAAGCATTACTGGATCAGAGGCACTAGCTGGGACAGACGTCAAAAGCATGTTCTGCCCACATTTCAGGGGCATAGTTACACCCTCATTTCCAATGCCAGGGCCTGTTTAAAGGTCTTGTGCTCCAGGCTACACAGCGATGATCCTGGCACCCTCTACACACAGACAGCCCCGGTTCCTATTCTTTCTTGTCAAACATCTAGAAGCCGGTTTTAGTGTTGCCAGGTGACAGGTAAGAACAAAGTCCCTCCAGGGTCCCTCTAATTGCTTCATTAAGAAGTGGGGACAAAGCTGTGTTTGTGCAGTGGGGCAGAGGTGGAGGGACAAGGAGGGTAGAGAGACAGAAGCCAGTAATTGCTATGTGTCGTTTTGGGAATAAACCTCCACACAAGTAGGAATAAGAGACCGAAGTTAAAGCTGCCTGCACACACCTGTAATTAAATAGCAGCCTTTGAGAGCAGGCCTCTAGGAGAGTTTGAAGAGTGGCAATGGTGGGAGCTGAGGAAGTGGTCTAAAATGGCGGGTTTTATCTGCAGCTGTGATGAAGGCGGCTGGATGAGGCAGGTTTTCAAAAGAGGAGAAAACTCAGCACTCTGGGGGAAACTATAACCCTGAGTGATTTGACTCACGCTAAGCACAAGGGGTGATTCCCACGTCACTCTGAATACAAAACCAGGCCAGTTTCCCAAGGGGCTTGTCAGTGTAAGATGCTGGCAGCAGGTCAA